TTGCGTCTCTACGCTCATATGGTCCCGCAACTTGAACTGATGTACATATGTGCTAAAGTTCTAATTTGTAACTGGCTGACTGACTGACGTAACTGTATACTGAAATAAATAGTTATGGAATCGAAAAGTTCCAGCCATAAAAAATGTTAAAAGTGGTCACCCAGAATCTCGTGTCGGTAATGGCTTACCATCATCTATTTGCTTCTATTTTGTATTGCATGGAAGGATAAGAAATCTGAGAGTACTTTGCGATAATATTCGCAAGAAGCGAAATACTAAGATATAAAACTGTTTCCATTGATGTTGATGTGTTAGGTTCTCTCAAATATTTTTCTACGTTTCATTTTATTATTCTTTTCTCTTTCTACAATACCTTAAATTGGAGAGGCTGAAAACAATCCATTATTATATCGGACATAATTTTTGATTTATGATTATTACATAGTAATATAAACATAGCTAATCAACTCTCTATATGTATGCGAACTTTTAGCAACCAAGATCAATCATTTTGGGATCAAGTTCTTACACTCAATAATATCTGAAATTATTCTATTCAAGCAATTTTCAAAAATGCAAGGACGTAATAATAAATTGATATGATTAAATAATTTCTAGTTTGTAACATAAACAGGTGAGAAGTTACTACTCCCTAGGCAGTTAGGATTAGTGGACAGTCAATGGTTGAGCAGACAAAACGCCTTATCTGATTATCGCACATTTTTCAACCTTTTCAGTTCTTTTGTTTCTAAGTGAATGTTTTGCACATTTCTAGGCCGATGAAAGGCGATAGCAACCACGCTTGCTGTGATAAAGCTATTATTGTGTTTGAAAAATATGTAATAAAACGACTTAAGAGTTCTTCTGTATTCTTTGAATAACCAAGTTTGATCAAACGTAGCACGCTTACAACCCCTTGCTTTAAGTTAAATGACCTCTGAAAAGAATGAAAGATCTATTTTTAAACCACATGATTAATGTACCTGACTTAGCAACCATACATATTGACGAGTAACTTTGGAGATTGTAGTGAAGTACATTTTTTGGTAAGGTGATTATCGAACAACTTAGCTGGTCCGAGAGCTTTTGTATGTGTGCTTTATTTTCATTAATTGAGAGGCAAAAAATTCAAGCAAATCGACTCAAGGTATGAACAAGAAATAGGAAATTTTACTTAATCGTCTAAACTTTCTTCTGAACTATCTTTAGGTGTAACAAAGTACAACCGTAGAAATCAACCACCAGTGATCAATCAGGTAAACACTTTTTAATGACAACAAATAGTCTTGGTTTCAATTCTTTGATAGAAACTGATAGTGACGCTTTTAAACACTGGAAAGATGTATAACAAATCTAATTCTATTCAGTTACTTTAAACACAGGGCAGAGACTACACTTAATAAATACTCTCAAGAAAATAAATGACATAACCCGCAGTATTTGGGCGTTTCTCCTTCTGAGACATACCTTATGATCCGTTGTTGAGTGTGAAGACAGTTAAGAGTTGTCCTATTTTGTTGACGCAAAATAAGATATCATGGGAACCAACTGAAGGCATAATACTGATTAGAAGATGAAAGTATATTTCATGTTCAAACTGAATTGCAATTAGATTAAAAGTCAGTTACAGCCAG